CGCGCCTGCGCGGTTTCATGCGCAGAGGAACTAAATGTCGTATGTCACCACAGATTCACGATCCGAGCCCTGGAGGGGCGTCGCAACGTCAGCTATATCCATCTTGTGAGCAAGACTAACTACAGGACGTTTTTCGTCCATACGGGTGAGATATTGTGTGTCTTTGGTCCTAAAGTATATTATTCCCTCGCGATTTAAGATGTCAGTTCCAATGATTATAGATGTGAGCATGCACTCAGCTGGAACCACGACAAAATCGGCTTCAAAGCTAATATCACTAAATTCTAGAGTGAGAGTAACGCATGATTTGGCTATAATTTCGTGATTACTTATTCCCTTAAGGATACAAGTAGTAGGCCTTATAGGACACGAAAAATACTTTAGGACATTCATTGATATTAGTGAAACATCGAGGGCACCGCTATCAATAAGCACATCGACAGGGATTCCCTGCACTACAGCAGTCACGATGTCTTTGCTGTGTTTGCCTCCCGGGTAATCGCAGCAAAGATTTATGTTATAAAGGTGTTCGTGATCGCAACCGACGGTATTCACGTATTTTTCTTTGTGACCGATTTCTTGACGCGTGACGCTTACGGTGATGTCGGTGCGATCCACTACCTGATTTGCTACGTGAACTATGCGTTTTAGGCATAATCGCACGATAAAACACACAGATTACAAGAAGAAATATCAACTCACTGAAGTAGGGTAGTTATGATTATGTTCCCTGTGTTTTTATGATGCGTCCTTCGGCAAAACGATCAAAGGCAATAGCTTGGATAAGTATCTAACTTCTGATGTTAGGTATCATCGGTAATTTCAATTTAAAAAGAAATACACAGGTTTTCAGACTAAGGTTATATTACTGCGATTGATTAATTTAATACACTTGGAACATAATCATGGTAACAATGCTAATAACAAAATAATTATACACTGAGTCTTACGAACACGATGCAGATGACACCGAACACCAACGTAGGTCCTTACTATACGATGTCTGACAAGCAATTGAGCCCGCGCCCTGTGTTGCGTGCTTTTTTATAGGCATAAAATAATCGATATCGGTTCTAATCCTACAATACTATTTACGTAAAACATTAAAATAAAATACGAAACACTCGCGTGCAGTCGATCCGTTAACAATGAACGAAGTGACAGATCCGCGCGGTGCGCTGGCCCATGCGCCCCTCCCTCGCCCGCGAACTGTGTAGTAACATATCTACCTACATAATTAATCGGACACTCTTAAAAGATCCGACTATATTAATATAGAAAAACTATGATACTAATTATTTTGAAGTTACAAACTTTGCGAGGTCATAGTTCTAGATATTTTAAGACTATAGGTGCAATAAAACGAAAATCGCCAAAAATGTAGTTCCGACTTTGTTAATAGCTACCGACATTTTCTGCCCTACCCCTAGAGTGTAATATAAGGGAGGGGCGAGGCGGCCCACGAGCTGAGGAGGAGGAGGCAGCTTCGGCTTCACCTCAGCCGCGGCAGCGAGCATTGAATTCATCTGCAACGATAAGCTCGCGTGGGACCGACAGAGCTCTGCAGCGCCGGCGCCGTGACAGATATGCCGCATGCTGCATGCTTGCCTGCATTCCTGCTTGTATGCTGCGTGCTTGCCTGCATGAATGGTGTATGCTTGTTTGCATGCTTCTTATAGGGAAATAAAAACCAAATCCGTCGCGAAAAAATATGTGTTCAATCAATCAATTTTAATTTTATGGTAAGAAATACAAAATGATAGATAGTCTTTCAATTGTTATAGATATGAAATATGTGCCAAAAGCTGATTCTCACTGTAAACTTTCTAAGATATGATGGTGGACTGGTGATGGCAGTTGCCCAGCACGGAAATACGCTGAGCACAAATACATCAATTCTATAAACTGTGAGGGCGCCTAAGAGCGCCGGTATTAATTGATAGTGTAAGCACTTATACCTTTTTTATATTTTATTTTAATTAATAATGTCTAACCAGTTGCTCTGTGACCTAGATATTTTTTCTGTGTCTGAGGTTAAATATTGTGAAGTCGAAGACTGTAAACAATATGTGCCGACTACGGATAATTTACTCACAATTATTACACAAAATATTCGCAGTATTCACAAAAACATGAATGGTTTTGAGGTATTGTTACATACTCTTGATATAAACTGTGATATTATCATCTTGACAGAGTGTTGGTTGTCTAATCAGCATCCGCATTTACTATCTCTTAAGGGTTACCTAACGCATAAGAATGATATAATATTGAACCAAAACGATGGATTAGTAATATATTGCACAGCATACTGAGCTTCCCTATAACCATCATCTATACCATCAAATAAGAGAAGGAAGGACATAGTGTGTAGCAGGCCTCAAGCTAGTCAAACATTTGTTCATAGATTTTATTAATTTTTTATACAATAAAATTAATAGAATACTAAATATATACAGCCTCAATAATAAAAATGTGTGATCATGCTATCAGAATATTTAGGTAAATTTAACTATGCAGACAGAAAATGTATTGGCAATTGTTAAATGAGTCTTACATAGTTTTAGTATAATATTATTTTCTATTATCTCCTTTCGTACGTGTACACTTTGTAGTATTTTTTATATTTTCTCGTGATCTGTTATGTTTATCTTACATTTCTACCTTAAAAATTCCATGTCAAGCGATCGCCTGGAACACAGGTTTACCCTAGTTCAGGCAGGTAGCGACTAAAGTTTTTAACAAATTCGCAATATCTTTGTGTAGAAAATCATAAATAACACTACTATAGATTTACGTTAGTGTAACTTAGTCTAATTATTGTCTACGATCTATGTTAAACTGAAATGCCCTACACTGTAATATTTATATTGGTCAAATAAAAAATTATTATATTATATTATATTATGTTATAGCATGTCTAGTTTGTAAGTAAACAATCTGTTAAATTAACTATGATACACTACTATAATCATGTTGTTTATGATGGCGAATTTCACAATGCACCTTGTGTATTTGAGAAAACATTTTACCTTTGAAACTTAAGGAATTCACATTAAAACGTATTACAATTTATTTAAAAATGATTAAAATAAGATATGATAGTTCTGCCTTTTAATGAATATCGATAGGAAATTTATGCTCAAAGATGATTCTGACTATGAACATTCGGCGATATGATGGTTTTACTTTTTAACCGACTTCAAAAAAAGGAGGAGGTTCCCAATTCGACTGAATTTTTTTTTTTTTATGTTTGTTAGCTCCGAACTTTTGACTAGGTGAACCGACTTTGATGTTTTTTTTTTTATTTGAAAGCTGGTGCTTCCCGTGTGGTCCCATTTCAATTTGGTTTAGTTCTGATAATGGTATCCATGAGAAGGAAACACTACGATATACCTAGCAATAATAATACGAGAATACTTTAAGACTCGTCAACTCGCGCGTGCGACACAAGCACTTCTCACTTATAAGGTGTAGGTGACACCGACTTGGCTGACACCGACTGCAAAGATAACAATAATTGTAACTACGTTATATTCATTTTATTTTACTTAGGAGAACTCAAATAAATATTTTGATCGTTGTTTGTTATTCACAGGTATATGTTAAATTAGATTTGAAATGGGTAGGTACCTACCTACCTTCTTGCGCGGTTAACACATAGATCGTACCTACATATAGATGAGTAGAAAAAGTAAGTTGATTATTAAGTTGTAGAAGAATATGCATTTATTTTTTTCCTTTTTAGTGCATATTAATTTGTTTTGGAATAGTGTTTTTTGAAGTCGGTTTTTTTTTGTTAAAAATTTTTGTTTTTAATTATTATGGATATCAAGTTTATGCCTAAAGATGATTATGATTACAAAATTATGAGTTTTGCATTTATGATAAATGATTTTCTGCGAAATGAAGTTAATGCTATCCGTTGTTATGCAAAATAATATTATGACATAAAAAGTTCTGCTATAAAGGGGGGACCCATTTATAATGTATAAAATAAATAATAATAAATTAAACACTGAATGTTCTGGGATAATTAAGTTAATAATAAATAAATATTTAGGAACTGCATAAATTTTATTTTATAAAAAAGTTTACACATTCTTCGGTCTCGCTCTCAGTGGCTCAGAGCTTGTCATCATCACATCACATCATCACATCAACAGCCTTTAATAGTCCACTGCTGGATAAAGGCCTCTCCTTAGAAAGGAGGCGTGAACTTCGTGCCAATATTCCAGAATATTGCAGCAGCTCTAGACTGAAGTATAAACAACAACAAAGCCGTGACGATACTCACTCATATTAATAAAACGAATGTTGGGCGGTGTATAAATTATTTATTGTATCAGTACACTGTGTTGTGTGAGCGCACGCACGGCCGGCATGCGGCAGAGCGCAGAGCGCCGGCGCACGCTCGACATCACTTCTGCCGCAGAGAACGTGCTACAACACGACTTACCTAACTCTCACAATTGTGTGATCGTACTCTACGAATAAAGCTATATTTACTTATAACTAACTAATAATACTTGCATCTACAGGATCTAACAAACTAACGAATTTTGCACAACAGATTATATTAATTTATTTTTACATTATTTGAATTGTTTAGAAGATCTTCATTAAATAGTAAACAATACGTTATAACGGTGGCTTAAATCTGAGCTGGACTTATAGAATCATGGCTCGTCATAGGGACCCAATGTGCCAACTATATACTTTAAATTGTTAATGCGTTGGCAGTTGGTCCTGTTCAATAAAAGTGGCTACATTAAGTTCAATTCTCAGTTTGTAACGCTCCATAAAGTGCTCCATAAAGATATAGGTAATGCGCACCAAAATAATATTTGTGCACCTCGGTTAGAACACCAGCGCGTGTGCGTTTTCTTCTCAATCAGGTTAATGGGCTCTTTTATTCATGATCGTTTTTTTAATTGAAACCTTTTATTAATAATGCCGTTTATATTGTTGTTTATATTATGTGCACAAAGAAGAGTTGTTTAGCGACGCCTCACTTCGTTGTCGGCGGTTCGTGCGTCTCTTGAGCTGGCGGTAGTGGTGGTGGGGCGTCGTGTAGTGGTTGTGGTGGTGGTGGTGGTAGGCGGATCCAGGCCTTTAATTTCAAACTGGCCTCGGAAGAGTGGTCGAAACAGCCGCAGGAAAGTTTGGTAACGCACAGCAGAGTTCTGCAACGTAACGAAATTCAAGATGACTACACGAGTACACGTGGGCCCTTGCCCCTGCCTTAACTGTACTGCGAGGTGTGCGTGTGTGACGTTCACTCGTTACACACACGTAGCAATAAGTTGCAGGTTTCGGTTTAATTACTACTACTACTACTATTCATTATTTAATTTAAAATAATTATATTATTTTCTTTTGTAAAACTATGGCACCTTTAAAATGTTGCAGCTCTGTCGCTTCCATTTTCTAAAGAAAAACATGAATTGAATATATCTACGGGAATGAACGAAAACCGGAGCACTACCATCTATACATAATTAAATATAATATTTTATTGTTACATTTATTTTAAATCGCCAACAAGTGATACACATATCCCATAAAAGTACAAAATACAAGTTTTGCGCTTATTCAATTATAGGCATCATCATATCTAATATGCCTATATCAACCTGTCTGGCCTGATGAATATGAAAAGGCAAAATCCAAAATATTACAAATTCTTTTGCAAACGGCCTGAGCTAGGTGTGAGACCTGTGTCTCCTGTGTGAGCTAGGTGTGAGACCTGTGTCTCCTGTGTAAGCTAGGTGTGAGACCTGTGTTTCCTGTGTGAGCTAGGTGTGAGACCTGTGTCTTCTGTGTGAGCTAGGTGTGAGACCTGTGTCTCCTGTGTGAGCTAGGTGTGAGACCTGTGTCTCCTGTGTGAGCTAGGTGTGAGACCTGTGTCTCCTGTGTAAGCTAGGTGTGAGACCTGTGTTTCCTGTGTGAGCTAGGTGTGAGACCTGTGTCTTCTGTGTGAGCTAGGTGTGAGACTTGTGTCTCCTGTGTGAGCTAGGTGTGAGACCTGTGTCTCCTGTGTGAGCTAGGTGTGAGACCTGTGTCTCCTGTGTGAGCTAGGTGTGAGACCTGTGTCTCCTGTGTGAGCTAGGTGTGAGACCTGTGTCTCCTGTGTAAGCTAGGTGTGAGACCTGTGTCTCCTGTGTGAGCTAGGTGTGAGACCTGTGTCTCCTGTGTCTCCTGTGTGAGCTAGGTGTGAGACCTGTGTCTCCTGTGTGAGCTAGGTGTGAGACCTGTGTCTCCTGTGTCTCCTGTGTGAGCTAGGTGTGAGACCTGTGTCTCCTGTGTGAGCTAGGTGTGAGACCTGTGTCTCCTGTGTGAGCTAGGTGTGAGACCTGTGTCTCCTGTGTCTCCTGTGTGAGCTAGGTGTGAGACCTGTGTCTCCTGTGTGAGCTAGGTGTGAGACCTGTGTCTCCTGTGTGAGCTAGGTGTGAGACCTGTGTCTCCTGTGTCTCCTGTGTGAGCTAGGTGTGAGACCTGTGTCTCCTGTGTGAGCTAGGTGTGAGACCTGTGTCTCCTGTGTGAGCTAGGTGTGAGACCTGTGTCTCCTGTGTGAGCTAGGTGTGAGACCTGTGTCTCCTGTGTGAGCTAGGTGAGGCAGTCGCTTGACTATGATGTTAGTTACAGGAAGATCATATGTTAAAGTACTAACAGATTAATAATGTAAATTACTTCAGACTGGTTTCTTTACACAAATTTATATTACTTAATGTTCAATAACCTAATTATTATATCAAAAAATTAAAATTATTTCATTAAAAAGTTTTATGTGAGAACTAAGATGTTTTCTGTGTCTGCGTAATTAAGCTTACCTAAATATTCTCCTACTAGACTTCACACTTTGTATACGATACGACATATATTGTCAATAATTTGTTTATCTTATTATATTGGCAATAGTATTATATAGTCATTATATAGATAATAAATAGAACTTGTCTCATTCTCAATGAAAAGGAAATAAAGTTGTTACAAGTTTGAACTATTCTGGTGGAAGAGAACAGAGGGCGTTGGACTTGACACTGACCTGTATAACATCCCCGATGATTTTAGTTGTACGGATGAGGAGGGACACGGACGGCCCAAACAAATTCCCCGGAAGGTCCAGGCTGACCTTGTTGCGGTCGAACTCCGGGATGTCGTCCGTAGCCTGGCGCGAGCGGCGCTGGTTCGGGCTCGCCGCTGACGAGCGGGACTGGCGCCACGACGATGGGCTCCCGGAGTTCAGCGCCCGGCGCCGCCACGTAGTGCCACTCTGTGTAAGCGAGCCATGAGCATCAGCTATCCCTCTCTCTCCTAGCGCCCCGCGTCTCCCTTGTGTATGTGTGTGCGTGTGTATATGTGTTACTAGTACAGTCGCTATCAACCTTTGATAATATAATCCTTAAGAGCTTACGCTGACACCGTAACATAAAAATATTCTTTGACTGTTTGTTGAAAAGCAGCTGTAACTTTAACAAAATAATGTCTTGCTACCTCGCTCATGACGATCTCCAAAGATCTATGTATAATTAGTATTGGTGGGCCGCAGAGATTGCTCAATGGACGATTGTTCCGTGGCTTGCTCTTCTCCGATGCGACCCCTTAATTACTTAGAGTGTAGTGTGCACTTGTAGTAGTAGCAACTGTTTTATGTACAGTATATTTTGTTAAAAGTTCTAGAGGCATGTTATGTGTATTTAATGCTTGTAAACAATACTTACATATTATACGCGAGTATATTGGTATCAACATGAGAAATAGTCAGTTTAATATAGCAGCTCACAAAAAGTCAGGATATGATTTCTAAAATTAAACAAAACATAGAAAAGTAATATTTATTACATCAATAAATATTAGTTTGTTTTGATACACATGGTTTAAGTAAGTAGGCACTACTCGGACAAGTTCACGGGCGCGTCTGTCATGACTACATAGTAAGTGCGTATGTGTGTTTGTGTGCGCTGCGAGTGAGAGTATGGCTACGGTGAAGCTATGAGCCTACGTCTAGGAGCGCTAGTTCTACGATCACTACGTCGAGCGACCCCATCACCGACCCCAACGATCCTCGTCACTGTACACGAACAAACACTGAACCCACACACATGCACACAGTTACGAACATTGACACCAGGTCCACATACGCCACTTGGAAATACACGAAATTCACATAAATGTGTTAACTTACATTTCATCACTGAACACGACTCTCTACTAAGCGCCTAATCATAACCACGAGTTTACAGTTGTGAGGACACGGGAATGAGACAGACATATTATTATTATTTAGGTAGGGTACAGCTACATACAGCACACTGTAAAATTCAGCTGTAATTGTACATAAACTTGATATAATTCCTTCACAGGTTCCTAAGGTAAACGACATTAATAAAGGTAGTATTGTAATTCGTTCCACACCGCGTGCAACGAGTGCTTGTAGGCAGATGCCTTCGGGTTGGCCGTAGACTTGCTTCCCATTGACTGGTATAAAAACTCATATCAAATTTTAGTGAACTATTCATAAGAGTTAGCACAATTTTTTTAGCATATAATACATTGACGCGTTGGCGATATATTGCATTCGTCGACGGCATCTCGTCCGGCAGGCGGCAGGGGTAGGGGCAAGTCCACGGTTGCCCAACGACGGCCGGCGCAGGCGCGGAGGTCGCGCCACGCGGCCTCGCTGCGTTGAGCAACGCGTGCTCGTACACATACACACATAACTTAAACTACTACACATGACTTAGAAAATAAAAGCTAAGGACAAGCGAAGACTAGACTTGGACGCGCCGACAGCGCTGATTGTGTTACTCGACAACGATGCATGGCATGTATATGTTTAGCTTTGCCATGATTTATGTGATGGGTAATGAGTGTATACAGTATTCAAGTAGGAACTAAGTAGTTACTAGTTTGACTCAATCCCATTACGTTACTGACGAGCAACAGAATCGGCGCCAGCGGCTTCGGTAGGTGGCGACTCGTCACTGGCAAGCACTAACTGACGCAGACGTCTCTCGGGGGGACGTCAGTCGACTAAGGTCCACCTGGAGTGGTATATACATATAGGAGGCGGGGGTGTTAGACTACAATGCAGTGGTGTAGTGACATGCGTTCTACGTGCAGTAAAACAACACATACATGTACAATTTTTTTAATATCACCAACGCTCACCTAAAACCTATTTACAATATAAATACAAAACATAGAAAGTGCGGCGCGATGCTGGCACTCGGCAAGAGATCGCGAACTGTACAAGCGATCTAGGATTGCAGGACAGGCTTGGACACTACAATAAAGGACAATAAAGATAGTAAGGAAGGAAACGAACCAGAAAAAACGGGACCAGGTAAGAGGCTGGGAGAGAGAGGGGCGGGACAGACAAAGGATCAGTAGGTATAGTGTTTATGGGTTTGGTATGGATGAAAAAAGATAGACTCAGGAAAAGTAGAAAGAGGGACTATAGAGCATGCGCCTACGAGTCGTCCTCCTCGGAGGAGTCAATGGTCTCAACAGTGCCGCCAGCACCGGCTCCACCCGACGAGGAGCCCGACAACGACGTCACAAGAGAGAGGATGGAGCCGAGTCCACTCCCACCTTGCGAGCCGCTGCCACCGCTGCCCGATGATCCACCGGATGCGCCGCCCAGCAGCCCCGTGACCGCTTGTATCTTGGGCCCCAGAAGCTGCAGCTTGGGTCCGATACCGCTCACAACTTGGCCAACGACGCCGCTCAGTGATGCCAGTCCGCTCTGTGGCGCCTCGATGCCGTACTGCTTGTTGATCTCGATGTTTTGTCTATCTAAATTTTCCACCAGTCGCGTCTTCGCATCGATCAGTGAGTTAATTTTCTACAACAGATAACAAAAATGAGTGGAACTCAAACGCAGAGTCAATATGAGCGTGTTGGTAGGTCGTACTCACCCCAAACACGAAGCCGAGTACGGCGTTCTTGATGCCGAATTTGGCTTGAGTGACTCCTTCCAGCTTGCGTTTCTCACGGGTCTGCTCATCGACCCCGTCGGCGGCGTCCTGCACACATACACGCTCGCATCACTACACCGCACTAACCACACTACACCCACACCACTAACACTAAAAGCACTCCACAACCAGTGTACCATATACCGCAAGATTCGTTACCTTGGCTCAATGCAATGTTCACCAGTGAGTAAGCTGAAGAGACCGCACCGACCACACACATGATGCGACACTTGCTAGAGACCTCCTGTATGTTATACTATTTACAACGTGTGCGACGTCACTTCGCGAGGGAACTCGACACATCGATCCAACAACTTTAAACGATAATCCTTTTAGTGTTATTTTCAGTTCACCCTCTACTGGGATATTGTGTTTTGAGATAAAATATATAAAAACAATATATAACAATATTAGGACATCAAAAGATTAAAGCACGTTCAATCATCATAGTAATGATTTAATAAAAATGTACAAACAATAGAAAAATAAATTAATAAAATAAATACAATTAAAAAAAAACATGTCATACTGTATCATTAATAAACTATGAAAGGGAGAGGGCAAGCGAAAGGAACGAGTACGACTACGCAAAGATACGGGTTTCGGTATTAAATGTAAGAGTAATGTGGTCACAGCGAGCTCACACTAAACACGGTACGGTTTTTTGTAAAGTTTTAACATTGGTAAGAGTCACCTTGAATAAGTAGTGGCAGCAAAATAGACAAGCGTCGCTAAATGTTAGATTGTACCTATTAACTAAACAATTAAAGTAATAAATAGCTCGTTACTATTGACTTGGACTACAAACAGCACAAACCTTGACAATAATCTATGTTGTATTTATGTTAAAAAGGGCAAACTCGTTAGAATTTCGTGCAGATCTATACAACGAACGTGCACCTACGAGCCTATATATGCCTGTATAAAGGCTCCAACACATTGAAGTAGCGCCCGCGCTCTCTTCTGTGATGATGTTGTAAAACGGAGCCTTGAGCCGACATCGACAAGATTATTTATGTGGTATAATTGTTTCATCTTTCAATGTATAAGGTTTATACATGTTAATACATATTGCGATTAAATCCTTCATAAAATAATGAGAACTGTTAGTCCTAATTATAGAAATAAAATGAAATATCGGTTTATTTTATAGCATTGGTGAGTGACCCTTTCTATTGTTATACTTATTATGAATTTTGTCAAATTAGCCATCAATCAATCTCCTGTTTTATTTTCAACTTTTATTATTGTGCAAGCGGTGCTAGCCTGTACGTGATTGTTGCATTCATACCTGCTTAGTCTTTGAATTACTTTTATTTTGCTGTCTTTAAATTTGTAATACTTAGTTTGATAATCGTTGACTGACCAAATAAATAAATATAAATAACCTAATAACACCCTGTCATATTTGAAATACAAGGAAGAACACCTGCCCAACGACCCTCGGCGAGTAAATAACGATCGTGGCTGTTTCAGGGGAGCTTTGGTAATAGCCGCCGCTGAGCCTTTTTTAATGGTTCATATCGAAGGCAGATTGTTTAAGATGGTGTTGGCTTTCTGTACGTGTGAAATGTTAAGCGATATGAAGTGCATCGGTGACCTCGCTTGCTCTAACAACAACTATGATATCGGATGTTCTGTAATTAGTTTTGTGATTCTCTCAGAGACTTGTAAGCTGCGATGTGTTCACCATTGATTATCAGCAGTTCCGTAACTTAAAACATCTCGGACACTTATTAATACCTTACGTACATGTTACATTACATTACAGTAGCGCTTGCCTGCTCACATTAACTTTGTGACGTCATATGTGTATGACGAATATGAGCAAGACGGTTTGTGAAATTAATGTGAGGATCTGGTTTGTTGCGACTTATGTTTCGTTAAAGTTATACTTTAGCGAGTGAATATAAAGGCAGTCGGTGGGCGCGGGCGGCGCGGAGCAGGTCGAGGCCGCCCGCCTCTCGCGCCACCGGACGCTGTAATAACCAATCGCGCACGTACAATCACCGAGAAGCGAGCGCTCATCTAACCCCCGACTGATTCTCGTCTGCAAAGGCTATGTGTTCGAAGTATGTAACAAGCTCTCGCGAGGAACATATAATATATAATATAATATAATATATCTCACATACTCACACACGGCCGTCTGATCCCAAACTAGGCAGAGCCTGTACTATGGTAACCAGACCGCTGATAAACATACTTATATATTTCTAAATACATATATATTATAGATAAATTACACCCAGACACAGAACAAATGACCGTGCTCATCACACAATATTTGTCCTGGGTGGGAATCGAACCCACGACCTCCGGTTTAGCAGTCAGGGTCACTAACCACTAGACCAACAGGCCCGTCAAACCATATATATGGCGAGTATCGTGCCGCACTCTATGGGATCTTGGGATTAGCAAAAACTGCTCGCGGCTTGAGAATGAATGTATTACGGTATATACCACTAGTATGGTTGCGTTTCCGAATCACGCAAATACCACGGAACTATTGAGCCAGAATTGCGCCATCGGCCGACCGGTACTAAGAAGTTTTCTTCCCTTGATTTACGGAATAACTAACACAGCAAACTGATACCACTTGAAGCTAAGAACTATTATAGCAGTAAAGCTGCTTGATCCATTCATGATTTCAAAAGGATCTCCGATAGATTCATTTGGTTTATTATTCTGAGGCAACGCTCTATTGTCATCGGCCTACTTGACTCCGCAGCGGAACGACCCGTGCGGGACACACATTATTGTACAATTAACTGCATATATTAATACAGGCTCAATGGCACCACAGACCAATTTGTGGATAATCTCTAGTAGTGTATACTACACGGGTGTGCACGTTCAATGTGTATATGAGTGTACACACATCTACAGAGTCATATCATTATCATTTGTACCGATATCGTCATCGTCTGTGAGGTCTGACCCACGCCTCACTATGAGCTTTATATGCCTAATAGATGATCTAAACAGACTTAGACTCTAGACAGAAGGTAAAGCTGCACCACACCGGCTACTAAGGTTATATCTACTTCATTTAATATCTTTTCTAATGTTGTAAAATGCTTCTGGTTCTCACCAAGGGTGAGTGACCTTCCTTTAAATTTATCATTACCTTCCATTTAATACATTTCGTGTTTACAACGATTTGTTAAATCTCATTATATCCAAGGGCACGAGAAGTGTGGAGGGGGTCTTGTGTTGCGTGTGCTGGGGTAAGTTATTAGTATAATCAACGTAATGGTCGGATAGAAAACCTTGTGCGAACATATCTGTATATAACAATTGCTTAGTGAGTGACATTCAATATTTTTAAGCGCAACATGTTAATGTGTCAGTTATTGACTCCCTCTGAATATTCTTGAAATCGTGTTGTAACTCGCCAAACACCCGAAGGGCGCCGTGTGCGATGCTGTTGAAGCAGAGATCAGCCGAGCGTTCCCTGAGCTCGCCCCTTGAATATACATGACAAAAACGTGTAACGTACATATAAATGGTGTGTTTATTGTATAGTTAGCGCGAAATGTGTGCGTCGCATTCAAATGTGCGCGATATGTTCTTGTGCCACAATATATGAGCGCTACTTACTTCTGTAATAACGACGTTATGTTACTTCTGTATGTTAGCGAACGAGAGGGTGCGCGGCGCGAGAGGAGTGTGTGAGAGGTGAGTGAGTGTGTGGTGAGTGTGTATGAGGCGTCAGAGGGAGACTGCGGGGCGCTGTGGATGTAGACAGCCACGAAGTTGTCTGGGAGTGAGTGACAGGCGCGGCGCGTGCGAACCGGGCCAGTGTCGCACGTCGCCTTACATAAGCGGGAGCGCGACGAGCCCGGCTCCACTGTTACGTCACCGCACCGCGCACATCACTACTTACACAGTGTAATTTCGAACTAGTCAGTTAACCCGGTCACCGACATGAGCCGCAACCTTTGTCATCTTAAACATGGTCCGACTCGTGTCACACGAGATGTCACCGTCGTCAACACGTTCACGATCTTCAGATCGCCGACGCGACGGTGGCGTCTCGCTTTAAGTTCGCATGGTTACCAGTTAGTAATTATTTAATCATTTGGGTAATGTTAGGTGTCGTTTGCGTAGAATTGAGTTTTAATAGCCATCGGACACATGATACTGATGAGGGTCAATGAAGTTACTAATTATAAATATTTATGCGATGAGTATGACACGTTTCTAAGGAACGTCCAACTATATCGGTCCGGTAGTGAGGAGGCATTGGACACAGATATTAAGTGTTAGTAAGGGCGAAGCATGAAGCTGTTCGGCGACGCATGTGATGTACGTACCTCGAGTGGCTGCAGCGCATCGTCGTCGGCGAGCTGCCGGCGGTGGCGGGGTGCAGGGGGCGGCGATGCGCTCGCGGCGAGCAGTAGGGCGATGGCGCAGAGCGCGAGAGGCGCAAGCGAACGTGCGGCGAGCATGGCGCGGTGCTGGAGACTGCCGCCACCGGCGCCGCCGCCGAGCCGCTCACCCGCGCCCGCCACCAGCCCCACGCGCCCCACCGCCAGCGCCGCCCGCTGCGAGTGGGGACGTTCATGCTCGTACACACATGTCTGTGTGCATAAGCGATCCCAATCACAATGTATCCTGGAAAAGGTAGGCAAGGCCGTATTAATTACCTACATCTACAAATTATCACACTCTCGTAATAAAGGGCAAACCTCTTACCGCCAACCGGACACTTTGGGATTTAAGGTCGGAATAATGGGATTATATTGAAAGGAAAAGGCGTGTAAGAGGGCGAGGACTTGCGCACTCTGGTGGACTGGGAAGTGTTAGCATTAACTGGGTCCGACTGATAACACCTCAAAGAGATGTGCCATTAGCAGTTTTAATTATCAGTATAATAATACGATTTGTGATCCTGACTGCTAAGTCCACTACGCTACTACACCTCTAGTAGTGCGTTCGATTCCCATCCAGGACAAATAGTTATGTGATGAACAGGATCATTTATTGTGTTTGTGGGTGTAATTCGTCTTTAATATGTATGTATTTAGAAATATATATATAAGGATGTTTATCAGCAGTCTGATTATGATAGTACTGGCTCTGCATAGTTTGGGATCAAACGGTCGTGTGTGAGATGTGTGAAGTTATTATTATTACTATTAATTAAATTTTTTGTGGATGGCACATGATACTGCATTGAGAGCTAGTTGGACATACATATTAAGAATAGTCTTAAAAAAACGTAATTTTCGTACAAAAGACATAAACGCGGTCAGTTTTTATGTACTACGTTTGAGTAGTATTAAAAGTTAAGTTAATTTATATTTTGAAGGAATATTATTGACATGTAGACGTTTTTATAGTAATGTACTATTAAAAATACGATATCACGTGGTCGTCGATTACCAACCTGAGCTAAATTGTTTAAATGATCACTATGTTCGCACTTTGTAGTCATCAGTTGCTATTATTCACCTCATGATAATAAATGTTACGTACGTAAAATCACATGAATAACGAATAATCAGAATGAAAACTGAATCGGAGAAGTGTCGGCTAGTCTGTCTTTTATTTAATTTTCCATTTTTTTAATGTGTAAAACATTAAAAAAATGGAAAATTAAATAACTACTTACTTTCTTTTTGAAATACTTATATATTTTATCTTTATTTAAGAAGTCTTAGTCCTTTCGGACTACGTCACTTTATAAGAACTTCAAATAGGACACAGTACATAAAGTATTAACAATTAATATAACAGTCATATACATAAGGTACTCGTGCGATGGATCCGTAGGTACCCGGTACATACCGACAACAACAATTTTTTAAATTGCTAATATTAGGTTACAGACTCTAAGGTCTACCGAATGCTCTGTTATAAACAACATATCATTTCTAATATGATCGTTCCGAACACATTCTACCATAATATGTAACGCGTCTTCTAATATCCCACACTCACAGTAAAAGGGGAGATGGCCGTTTTTTCATCATGTGCGTGAATTTATTAAGTGAAATGTGCCGGAACGCAATCTAAAGATGTACACTCGTCAAACCATGGAGTCTTCCAAGGCTCACCTTGCAATGTTCTATATCATTATTAGTGAAACTCAAACAACACCAGCCAGGTGCGGGGGCCAGGGCCCTAGGTCCACGACTGTGGTCGTGTCCTGAGACCTTGTCTCTCTTACTGCGACTGTCGTTTTTAGTGGCATGCTGGCTGCCGTTTATGCATGACAAATATTAGCATTGTACATGCTTTTAGCATATTAATTATAAACTAACGTTTGAATGCCTTTTCCTGTGCCTCGGGATCTGAACCCCTTGTAATGTCCTTTTATTCGATGACTAATTGGATAGTCATTAATGATATTCATAGATCTTGTATTTCTAAGGTGTCTCTTCCTTTTCATCTAAACTTGAAAAAAGTTTTTTTGTGAGGACAAATACACAGTACCACTGCTAAGGGCTCCCCGGTGTATGCTGCCCCATACAGAGTGCTGCAGGCAAACCTACAGAGGCGAAAGCTCGCATCCGATGAGCTTATACTGGAAGCAACAAAACGAAGAGTCGCAATCGCCCTTATACAGGAGCCCTACGTGGGGTCGGTGAAAAGGATGAAGGTATACCGGGGCGTTAGGGTCTTCCAGAACAATGGGCAAGGAGGAGGGACTGTAAAAGCGGCAATAGCCGTCTTTGATCCAAATCTGGATGTCGTGCAGTACCCGCAACTCACCACCGATAACATCGTGGTGGTGGGAATCCGGATCAGTGCCTGGATGTCACGCTGGTGTCCTTCTACTTCGAGCCGACCGAACCTGTGGGGCCCTACTTGGAGCGACTGAAGTACATCAGGCGGAAGATAGGTTCCCAGCGCATCGTCTTAGGAGGCGATGCAAACGCAAAGAGCACCTGGTGGGGCAGCAGAATAGAGGACAGTAGAGGCGAGGCGTTTAGTGGAGCGCTTGGAGAGATGGACCTCCATGTCCTGAATAGCGGAAACATTCCAACTTTCGACACTGTGAGGGGCGGAGTGAGGTACTGCAGCTACGTGGACGTCACCGCCTGCACGAGCGACGTGATAGCCTGGATCGATGGCTGGAGAGTCGACGAGGGTCTCGTGAGCTCCGACCTCAACGGCATAGTGTTCAACATCAATCTGAACAGAGCAAAAAGAATAAACATCAAACGCACAACACGCAAGTATAACACCAAGAAGGCGAATTGGGATGGCTTTCGGGTCCAGCTGACCCGGCTAATCGCTGAAAATAACATCAAACCGGAAGATGCTACCAACACTCGCGAGTTGGAAAGCATAGCTGAAAAATACAGCAGATTGGTCGGGGAAGCGTGTGACCGGAACATCCCAAAGAAAAAGAGCAGCGAGTTGCTCACTATGCCGTGGTGGTCGGAGAGGCTAGCAATATTAAAAAAGAAGGTTACCACCAGAAGAGAGAAATAATTATATTAAATACTGAAAAGTGAACTAACCGTGCGTTAAGGTTGCTGCGCGGTACACTCCTATTCTCTACTTAAACTGTTATAGTTAGTTTAGTGTAACATTCTGATTCGTTGAATGTGTTGGACCATTCGACGCCGGTGAGATGTTCAGACACTTTCTTAACAACATATATTCCATTCTTCGCAATGCTAACTCACTGACGTCAAGGATGATTATTATTATTATTATTATATTATGATGATTCAGTTGCTTTAATTCCAAAATTCCTTAAACGTTGTGCGTCATGCCCGAGCTTCTGAAATTCGCCACACCATTCAATAAAGGCTGATTTTTTTAAAATGCTTCTGAATTGCTGCTTTTACTTATTGTGTCCGAGGAGGAACAGGTGTTATTTTACTCCTAGACAAAGGAAGGACCGAGGCCAAGGGGCCGAGGTCCAATGGTTGATGTTGGGAAGTTGTTGTCGTTGTTTATGTTGATACAAGTTTAGCATTTGTCCGTAGTTCGGCATGTCTTCATTAGATGCCAATGAAGTGTTTTTCTGTCTCATTGTGCGTGGAATCGCCATGTGTTGTTTTGTCACCCGTCATGTCACTTGCTTGCTTTTTTTATATAATTTTAAAAAGGTAGTCATAGCGCGAACACTGTCTGTTAGTCGACTTTAAATGAAAATAAGAAGATGCGGCCGTCCAGAATGTGACAGAAAGTTTGTAACAACGATAGCTATCGTCACTTCTCTTACTGATTCGTTATGGCATATCATACCATGGTGCCGGTCTCGTATCCAAAGATCCTAGAGAAATCTAGGGAAACCCTCAAAACTTACTGCCTCGACAACATGTTTAAACTTGTTTCTCTAGCTATATAAGTATTTGCGTTTAGTAGTCTTTATGTCAATTTGCCGACCTGATGATGAAAGGATCCTTGACCTTTAGGAGTTAGAAGATAACTCTTTAAACATCTTATCATGTATTGACCACGTTTCATTCTTTCAAGACATATGTTAGGTGTTTGTGTTGGGTTACAGAGGTATTAGAGAGATTCTAGTATGTTTAGAGCCCACGTATGATTCAAGCCCGATGTACAATAAGTAATACTGGCCTATGTCAGCTTTATATCAATACAATAAAGAATTTAGAATTCAATATAATTATAATGAAACATCGCAGATTTAGTTAATTAATCAAGACCAACCAGATCAATTACGTACGCAAACTCGTCAACTACTTAATAAAGAGATGTGCGTAACCCACTTTATCTCGTTCACCATGTTTTGTACAGCATGAAGACTCTTGCAACTGCCGCGCCACCTTCCAACAAGCCTGTCTGGACTGGAAGGTATTTATTGCTATTATTTCTCTTTTTTCTCTTTAAAAAGACAACTCCCGCACTAGGAATATATCCTGTGTCGCGGGGGACTTTACAAACATACATGAAACGGACACAAAGAACACCAAGACTCAGAACAACGATTTGTGAATCACACAAAGTGTCGTCCCATGTGAGGATCGAACCCACTACACTCAGCGTAGTAGTAAGCGGTGTGGCGACCGCTTAAACCACTACGCCATCCGTGCAGTATAATGTTACCTGTTATATTAAAGGTCGCACTTATTTGAGTTTAATGACTTTGATTTGTAATTGTTTATTAATTTTTAGTGCTCCTTGTTAGTATTGTTTGAAGTCGGTTCACATTTTTTAAAAGGATTTATTAATTAAAATTAATAGTATAATTAATTTGTTCAAAATTAAAATTAATTTGTTGATGGCTTTTTTTTACTAAAAGAATGGCTTCCATGACGTCTATCGATATCGGCATCCTAGAGTAAAGGTGTAAGCGTGGCGATGGTGCAGAGAAATGAGTGGAGCGTGTCCAATAATCAAGACCCTCGACAATGTGACCGAGTCAGCGGTTACCTGTTAACCTCGGCCATTGTCTCATTGTGGCATTTGTGTTTTACTAATATTGGCAAATATTATTAGGGGAGAGTGGGTAATACATTTTTTTTCAAAGAATCTAAGAGGTCATTAAAATTCACAAGTTTGCGAATAACCTATATCCATATTTGTACGATATAGAGAATCACAAATATCCTTAAGACTGGTTAGTACAGAAGAAATTGTAATGTTGTGTGTGTGTTTATTATTTTAATTTATGCACTTAACACACAGAGGTGGACTTAATGTCTTGGACATTCTCGGTCATTAAAACTCCGGGAGGTGCAGAATTAATCAGAAAGTATGTAATTCCTTGTATACACTATAAATAAGTAACAGTTTGTGATCCTGGTGTGATGTGAATAGAAACTTGTCTAAACTACCAATTTGTGATAACGTTCGGGCAACAAAACACTCACTATGAGGGTATGGCTACATAATATTAACTTGTGTCTAGTTTACGAACAACAAAACGCGTAGGTAACTCATATCTTATTTGTACACGTGTTTTGATTAACTAATAAAGACAGGCCAAGTGTGAGTCGGACTTCGCACATGTAGGGTTCCATACCAAACAAGTGGCAGAATGATTCTTAAGCAATAGGAGAGTGAACTTAGTTAAACTCTTGGTGAGGAATCTCTGGAGCTTGGTTATAGACTTCTTTGTGAAAGGACATCACAAGAAGAATCACTAAAGAAAAACATGATTTACATTGGTATTTATTATAAAAATACATGATAACAAACGTTTTCAAAAAATATTTCGAGTTCATCGGTCAAAGGAAAGTTAAAATACTTTGGATCAAAATGTTGTGGCAAATGCTGACTTTGGTGGCTTCTCATTCCTTTATATTCCAATGTTTTAGAAAACAATAATCCAGTGTTCATCTACTTAATGAGTAGACAGTTATTTTCGTGTCTCCCTTTAGCTGTATGAGAGCTCCCCTTCACATCATCAGCAACAACAGCCTATAACAGTCCACTGCTGGACATAGGCCTCTCCTTAGATAGGTTTTGGTCCTACTATTCCACGCTGGCCAAACGGGTTGGTCTAGGGTTTGTTTCAAGTTTTCCTTCT